CTTTACAGTCACCAGCTGCACCTCTTCTGTGCTATGTTGGAATCAACGCACCCAAAGCCGGAATCAACGTCGGAGCTGAGGTCAGTCAAAGTCCCATAAATGCATCACTGATTTGCCACTGAAGAGGGTAAGCGATAGTGAGCGAGCGATAGGAAACGGCATTCGGCGAGAGCAAACACCGCACATGCTGAACCATACCAGCTTACGTCGACTGAAGGCGATGGCGCAGTTCGGCGACGGGGGGGGGGCATTTTGCACTTTCGTTGCTTCACTAGTTCCGGTTTACAAGTCTCACTCTGGTGAAACCTGTGAACTCTTGTGAAGCTGGAGCAAGCTCGTCAAGCCATCATGGTAAAACCTGTCAACTCGAGAAGAGGCTGTCTAGATGGGTCGACACGTCGATGGGAAGTATCAAAAGTGCAAAATGCCCCCCCCGTCCCCGTCGCCGAACTGCGCCTAGTGAGAATCGAGCGACATCAGGCGTCAAAAGGTGACTAGAAAATACTGTCGAAAGCAACTTATGAGGAGGCGGGTGATTACGTCTACGTTGTGGCGACGCGCACAAACCAGCTAATATTTCTAGCTAGTTGACCCAGTTGCTAGTTTGAGTTGGCTTAGTTGATTTAGTTGATTTACCGCATGTCGTATCTCATAAGCGGTAAATCAATTGGATCTTGGTGCGAATACCGCGTATGTGACGTCGCTTGCAGCGCACGGCATGAATGTACCGATCGGCATCGTCACACGGGTGACGCTGAACACCGCAATTTAGAGCATTAATGATTCAAGAAGGTAGGCGGTGATAGGCATCGGACATTCAGTGCATTAGCGAAGGTTTCCATACCAAAACAGCGATAGCGGGCGACACCAAGCGACACAAAGCTACAGTTGGTCACTAGGGAATGGGGCGTCAGTGTCATTGGGGAAGGGAGCAGAGTGACTACATATGGCGGCGTAATTGGGCCACGCGCTTTTCCACTCGTCTTCGCTCGCCCCCCTCCCCACCTCCCGATCGAGACAAATTTCCACGAGATTTCTTCTCCAACACATGCTTGCTTCAGCCCAGAAGAGCGCAAGATTGTGGACTGGAGGTCAGACAAAGGAAAGTTCGCATACGGAACATCAGACGATAAAAATCATTTGTAAGCAATAATGGGCTATAGTAGGCGGAGCGAGACTGAGCAACAATTGAGAACACCCTCACTTCGGAGCCTCCCCCCTATGATAATTTGACGACCTGCTTAGATGTTGAACTGTTTTGGAACAAAAAACAAATAAGTCAATTCAAAATTCAGATCGTCTGCGGCGGAATCTGCTCTTCCTGAATGCCGATGGTCAACGGCGACAAACGCTGCCATTACCAATGTTTTGTTTTTTTCCAAACAAGTGCTGCAAGTGGTCTCATAGCTTTTTTTAGTCGGCAGAATACCCTAAGGACTGAGGTACTGTAATGGTGTTGTTTTCAGAGCACTTGGCGCCTATAACAGTTGTAACACTCTGAAGGGAGACCGTGAAGTGACAGGATGTTGTTGTGACTCATCGAACTCGTGTAACACTCCTCCCGGTGTAGGTGTTTCATTAAACTGAAGAAGTAAGTCAAGTGATCGATGGAGTTTTTAGTTCGCCATACCCACACGCCAGCACCAAACACCGACTTCCCGATCTCATGCTGGTCCGGAATTTACGTAAACGGAAATACTTATGTCATACGCCAGGGGTAAGTCAACTGAGTCAAGCGCTTGAAAATGGCAAGGACGGTCCTAAAGAGTTTTACTGTTTCAGATACCAATCCTGCAAGGGTCAATGCGCTTCTTTGACGCTGACCACCACCGTTCTTGGTCAGACCCACAACGCTACCATGTACACCTGTGATCCGACAAGCGTCTGCAAAGCTCTCAGTATGGACGTTTCTGGCGCTATTTCAGTAACGAGGGGCATATAAATGACTGCGAAAAAGAGGGATAAAAATTTTGCTGAATAATAGGGATAAATTTTTGAAAGGAAGAAACCTTCAAACTGGGATGAATCAATTCCTATGTACAAAAGAGTTCGGGCAACACGAACTCTTTGTACATAGGAATTTCGCACAAGTTCATCACATGCCCACCTTACTGGAATAGCGCCCCTGTCTTGATCTTTTATTACAGTTTCATGAAAAATAGTGGGTCTTACAAATCGCGTATTTATTCGTTACTTTTAGATATGAACAACCAATGTCAAACGCTGGAGAGTGGAGTCAGCGGATGCTGTTGTAATACGGATGCCTGTCTTACACCCAGAAAGGTAGGATGTTCTCTTTGCTCAAGTGTTATTCAAAAAAGGCTACCTAGCTCTCGATCCTGTAGTTTGGTGGGCTGTCATTCTGTTTCCTTTCTTCTCTGAAGTTCCTGCCCAATGCTCGACGATTACCTTACCTAAGAAAGTTTTCCGGTAGTCCCCACTTGTGTATCGGCTGGGGCAGCCCAGGAGAATTCTTATCGATCCTCAGGTGTCTAACAACCGCACTCTAGGCAGACCTTTTGGACGTGTTCCAACAAAAGTGGCTCTGAAAGCCATATTCTACGCTCGTCGTATGGGCGAGGACAGAGGACCGTCTCACTGGCTCACCCTTGCTCTCCAGCGAGGCGTAACGGTCCGCTGTCTCCGCCCCAACTGTTCATCGCGGAGTGAACCTTCAGCGATAAGAAAAAGCAAGCGAGATATCGAAACCGTTACAAAGAACAAAGAGGAGAAGCCACGGGTCCTTCGAATTCCCACTGAGGCCTCCAAAGAATTCCCTTTACAGCAGCGGGCTACCTCGATTCAGCAAAATAGCGTTCAAAGCGGAAGATTCCTGTTATCGGCCCCGATATCCATTCACAGACGTTCACAGACGTTCTATCCTAAGCGTTTTTTTGCCCACGCCCACACTTTAGAAATGCGATTCAAAATATAATTGGTCGGAAGTTCGTGTTGATGGGAAGGGGCATTTTGCACTTTTGCCACTTCCAATCGACGTATTGACCCTTTCTAGAGAGGTTTTTCTTGGGTTGACAGATTTTACCCTGGTAACTTGCTTCAGCTTTACGGTTCAACTAGTGACTCAGCGAAAATGCAATATGCCCCGTCCCCCAAACTGGCGCCTCCTCGACCCTCCCATAGGATACTTTCAGGTCTCAAAAATCATGTATCATCCACAGCTCACAAGAACAGATTTCTCATCAATTATGCCCATTTCAGAGCCCTGGTAATTCTCTTCAATGCTACGTCGGTATCAGAGCCCCGAATGCTGGAGTGAACGTTGGTGCTGAGGTGAGAAACTTCTACAGAGTTTACTTTCTAGTTCTGGATATATGTGGGTCTTTATTTAGGTCTACTGCGATGGCATGTGTTCATCATTGAGTGGAGTCGTTAACGGCGACAAAGTCACCACTTTCCAATGTGCGCCGATAAGCGTTTGCAAGTGAGTTATCCGGTGAGATTCGGGTTTTCAAGTCTGGCAGTCAGTTTAAGACCAACTGTTCAGATCCCTGGGCATCGACAACGCCTGCACCGGTCTGCCAGGAGATCGCGAAATCAGTGGATGTTGCTGTGATTATGCGAACAGCTGCAATCTGCAAATGAGCAACAATACTGACGTCAGTTCCCTTGAAATTACTGATAGTAACTCAGCGAATCTTGAAAGCTGGGATGAAGGCGGCTCAGTCTCTGTTGAATTTGGAACAGGGATTTATCTCCGTGCTTAAAGGCTCTGGAATTTATCAACCAACTCATTTACGCCAAAGGTTCTTGGTATCCCCTACATTCAGTTCCTTCCGTCCACGAAATCTTTTGTTACCCACTCAGACGTACCTCGCCACTGAGCATGAATGCTGATCTCGTCTTGTCCGCATCATGACCCGAAGTACATCAGCTATCTCGATGATGGAGGTAGCACGGGCAGTGGTGTTAACATCCAGTTGAAGGGTCCAGCGTTAGCTCCGTAAACACCATGAAGCTAACCATAAGAAGTGGCGCATTGGGCATCGCTGGCATCCGCTCCTGTGAGGCTTCCTCCTCCAAGCTCAATGGAGATCTCTTTCCAGGGCACATGTCGTGATTAACCTACCCCGAACGATTCCGCGATAACATGGAATGGTAGCCTTGTTCGCTGCGAGTGATGGGGCGTGTCCACATCCACACGCCATCCCTTCTTCGCCAGTTGTTGAAGCGTGTAACGACAACAACTGCTGGAAAGCGACTAATACGAACGATATGATACAGTCTTGTGCCGCCTGTAGAGAGAAAAAATGAAAAACGTGGACTGGCGGTGCGCCAAACCCGTCCCCTTGATACGCCCCATCATCCGTAGCGAGCAAGACTTCATCACTGATTTCGCAATGTGGAGATCTCAGCCCAGTGTACAAGATGTGCAGGTAAGCAGCCCCATAGGGTGTGCAACTTTCATCGCTCAAATGCGTGGCAAGGACGCTAGGGAGTCAGTGTTCCAGTTTCTGCTCCGCCCACTGCCTGAAGGCCATTCATTCGCTCCCTTTATATACGCTGACAGAAGAAAATGTTAGGCTAACCAACATTCGTAGCATAGGCTGATGTATTCACTGAAAGGCACTCCGCTAAGTCTAGGTAGGGGTATATCGAAGCAACGGTCTTATGATTTTCTGGCAGAGAAGCAGGAATATTGTGAAACTCGTGCAGAAGCCCATAACTCGCACGAGCACAAAAAGGATGAAAAGGATCGATTCTTCCACATTTGACACATATAGCACCTGCAAATTCTGACATCTCTAATCATACATTTCCTTTGCAGAATGAGCCCTAAACTAGGGTAGTACACTAAGGTGGTAATGAGTATTAGTAAAAGGGAAGGGCAGAAGAAGCCAAATAAGTTGATTGCGAGAACGCTCGGAGAAGTTTGTAACGCGGGTATAAGTTGGACTTCTGTTCCATACACCAATCCTGGTGAATTAGAATAAGCACTAAACATTTGCGCGACTGCGACCCACGGCGCTCCACCGTAAAAAGCTGGTCTGCTACAAACGGATGAGAGAAAGTGTTGTGCTTGAAGTGACCGTCGCCAATCCAAAGGTTGGTTTTTCAGCGCGGTCGCTAGCAGCACGCGATTTTGGGGGCGCGACTCGAGCGATTCCTGAGCGCCACAAAATCGTTCGAGTCACATAGTGTAACGCGTCCTCATCTTATGGACCTGAACTTCTCCCTCTACCATACCCCTCCCATTCACAATCATGGCCAAATAAAAACCACCAGAGTGAGCTGAAAGCTGGACCTCTGTGAAACAACAGTAAAAGGGTTAAGTTATACTAATTTTCCTCATCTTAGATTGTCCCGCCTACACCATCGCCAAGCAGCGAGTTCCCAGTCTCATGCTGGTCTGGAATCTACGTGAATAACAATGCTATAACTCCTGCAGGGTAAGTTTACTTACTGCTCATTGGTGACCTCAATAAATCGCTCTAAAAATTGATTCTTTTCAGATTCCAATCCTGCCTGGGAGAATGCGCTTCGGTAACCCTTCAGACAACTATTAACGCCCAACAGCACAACGCCACCATCTACACGTGTGACCCGACGTCCATCTGTCAGGCACTTAGTGAGTTCCCGGCTCAATTCTAGACCATAGAGGTGCCCCCACTGCCCCTGAGCCTTATGCTTTCAGACATGAGCAACAGATGTTCTTCGGTTGAACCAGGAGTTTCCGGCTGTTGCTGTAGCGATGACGGTTGCCTCACCCCAAGAAAGGTAGGAACAGTTAATGAAGATCGTCCAATGAGAATGGGGGTAAAAACGAGAATGATTTCAGTCTCCTGACAACCCACTCACATGT